TGACCTTACACGCGTAACTAGTATGCAAGATCAATAGTAAATATCCAAAATTACCTAACCACACTGTATGAAAAAGCAAGACATACTACTTTAAGAGAAAATTAACTAATATTTTTGAGTAGTGGATACTATATTTTTATATGTGAACTGCTTAAACAATTCAGAAAAATGCATTATTTTTTCCAGAGACTTATTAAAAAAACTATAACCTTCAGAAGGCATACGCAATTGAAATCTTATTTCTAATATTGATTTCTCTTTCATATTGAATCTTATTTATAGACAAACAGACAGACAAAATAGACAGATGTCTTGTTTTTCACCCGCTAAGTCATTCTGCGCCGATAGGCGAAAAATCAAGCTTAGGTGCGAAGGAAAGGTATATAGAAAGGGGGACAATTTCTGTTTCCAGAGAAGAGTAAAAGGAACTTCGTATTGCTTTATACGAGTTCAAACGGCCTGGAAGAAAAAATGGGACAAAATAAATTTAAAAATAAATGGCCCGTAGTAGTTTAGAGGAGAAAGGAAAGGATTTTAAAAAAAAATGGGCCTCGAGAGGAAAAGAAAGAGAAATAGAAAATATCTTGATATGCTATAGCGTGAATGTGTGTGTGTGGAGAAGGTGGATCGATATGATGAATGGTGAAGGAATTAGATAAATAAAATAAAATTTTGATTTTTGTGTCCAGTATCAAAACAGTAAAGTCAAGTTGAGAATATACCTTTAGCTGCTGCTAGAAGAAAGGGAGATATTGTAAAACGAAATATTCTAATTTGGAAAGAGTTATATGTAAGCATTTACTATGAGTTAAGGCAAGCTAGGGTCAATGTAATTTTTTATATAACTAAGTAGTCCTTAATTTTAAACATATCCAAAGATTCATACAATTTATTGAGCGATTATAGACAGACAAAGTAGACAGATGTCTTTTTCTGCTCCGATGGGCGAAAAACCAAGCTCAGGGGGGGCAATTTCATATTTCAGAGGAGAGTAAAAAGGAACTTAGTAAATTTTGTACGAGTTTGAAAGGCCAGGAAGAAAAGAGGGGACAAAATAAAATTTAAAACAAATGGCCCAAAAAGTAATAGAGGGGAAAAAAGCCTATAGAAAGAAAAGGAAAAGAAGTAGAAAATATCCAAAAATACGATTGTGCCTATAAGTGTAGTCAAAAGGAGAAGAAGCTGTCTTCATTTACAATAAATAGTGTCTCAAAGGTGTGTGTAGTGAGTGTGTTTGGTAAGGTTGAATAGATGTGATACTGGCAAAAAGAGGTGGGAGTGTTAAGATGCTTCGTATCAAGGTATTTAGCCTGGAATACAAAGTAATTTCTATGCTTGCATTCTGAGTCACAACAGCAAAAGACCCATAGCATCAAACAAAAGTATATATTAATTTAACTAAAGTAACTTATGCTATTTTCGATCTCAAAATTTTCATACATTTTCATACATTTACACAATAGAAGACCACAACCACACACAAAAAAGTATATATATACAGTGGTGGCCAAAATTGTGGACACTTTTGGAAATTTTTATGTTTTTGAACTTTGTATGCTTATAGAAAATGTTACGTTTCGCAAAATGCAAACTTGTATATATCATTTTAAAGAGAATTTATTACTGAATTCAATACAAAACACAAAATTCAATTATTTGCAATACAAAAAAGTTATATATATGTACTTTAATATAAATAAAAAAGCACAGTTATGAAGTGGTTTGTAATGTCTAGCTTTCCTGGCCAATCACTGTTCTTGTTCTGAGAACCAATCAAATGTTAGTAACTGCCAGTAGAAGCTGACATCATGATTACACTTGAAACAATTCATTTGCTTTGTTCTGTACAAAGGAGGACCTGTTTCTTATACACTGTAATTACAAGTAGGAATTTTTATAAAAATTTTTAATATTTAGTCAAGAACCAATGACATCAAATAAAAGAATAGATTGGACACCTAGAAAGAGATATAATATTATTGTGTTACGAGAAAGTGGTCTTTCCTATGCTGAAATTGCAAGACAGGTGGGTGGTTCAGTGACTACATCTGGAATGCGAAAGTTTTGTTTACGATATCAGGAGACAAATTCAATAAAAAACAAAGAAGGAAAAAGCCGAAAAAGGTGCACCACATCTATTGATGACAGATGAATAAAAAGACTATGTCTCCAAGATAGAAAAATGTCATCAGCGGCCATCAGAAGTCATCTGAATGATGCTGGTGTTTCTGTCAGTTCAAGAACAATCAGGAGAAGATTAACAGATGTTGGACCGAGAGGTAGAATTCCACGAAAAAAAGACTACAGTGGGCAAAGGAACACATTAATTGAACAGATAATCAGTGGTCACAAGTTATATGGAGTGGTGAAACTAAGATATCGTTATTCGGTAGTGATGGGCGAAAATATGTAAGACGTAAAATAGGAGAAGAGCTACATCCTGACTTCATTCAAGCAACTGTGAAGAACCCAGTTAGTGTTATGATTTGGTCATGCATGTCAGCAGATGGTATTGTCCGCCTTCATGTCATCGATGGGACATTGAATGCCAGAAAATACATTGACACTATTCTAGAACCAAAACTTCTACCTTCCATCAGAGATCTCTTTCCCAACAATGCTTCGTTTATTTTTCAGCAGGATTCTGCTCCTTGCCACACGGCCAAAATATCGAAAGAATGGCTTCGTACAAAGAGCATTAAATTGTTGTCATGGCCAGGAAACAGTCCTGACCTCAATCCTATCGAAAATTTGTGGCAATGTTTGAAAATCTTGTCCGAATGGGCCGCCCATCAAACAAAAGGGAACTAATTGAGGCTATAATTGTTTCCTGGCATCATGTAATAACGAAAGAAGAACTTAAAACTCTTGTCAGCTCAATGAAACGTCGATGTGAAGCTGTAATGAAAAATAAAGGGTACCCTACTAAGTACTGATAACTCACTGCAATCATCACTACCTAATGTATATCGATAACTATTATCGTTTAACTTTATTTGTATTGCAAATAATTGAATTTTGTGTTTTGTATTGAATTCAGTTATAAATTCTCTTTAAAATGGTGTATACAAGTTTGCATTTTGTGAAACGTAACGTTTTCTATAAGCATACAAAGTTCAAAAACATAAAAATTTCCAAAAGTGTTCACAATATTGGGCACCGCTGTATATATGTAGGTACAAATTACGGAGTATACGTATGTATTAAAAACATAAATTAAACATACTATTTATTAATTTAATTATCATAATGTATTACAAGTTTCATTATTTTACTATCATAATTTATTACAAGTTAATTAATGCTAGTTTAACACATTGAGGCACACTGTTACTTTTATAAGCTCATAATACTAAGAATTTATTTAAGGCAATGAAGAATAATCCATCCTCATACATTTGGACATTTAACAGATAGCAAGGAACAGTATGAGAAAAAAAATCGATGAGGTATAATATTTAAAGGCGAAAAAATATTTAAGTGATCTGAAAAAGGGAAACAAAAAGATGGGAAAGGGAAGTAGCGCTATGCCCCATATCCCCAATTTTCCCTCTCACGAGATTCCTTAAAACAAGATAACGTTGGCGTCTGTTTGGAATTGTAACCACACACACACACACACAGAGATCGTATTTTATTCTCGAGTGTCAAGATGTAGGAACATCTTTTTACTCGACTTCTGATAAGAATCAAAGGAAGGCACACGCAATGAGCAATTTCAAGTATTGTTTAAAGCTAAATACTTATGAAAAATTTAAATTCATTAATTTAAAGGCACTTATTTATAGAAATTTGATTTAGTTTAGATGAAAGAAGGGTACTTATCTTAAAATTCCATGCTTTCGTAGAATATCCTCACATTGTCCGCTGTTTCATTCTGACCAACATCGGAGCTGAAAGTCTTTGAAAAAGGTGTAGGTTTTCTAGAAAGTACACTATTTCAAAGTAATTTAATTGATAATCACTAAGGGGAAAGGAATGTTTTTCACTTATTTTCAGAGCACTGCGAACATGCAGCCGCTTGCCTCTGTGATCCTAAATTTACAAAGATACAAGATCAACAAAATCATACCTCATTTAGCGGCTATAAACAAAAATAAAAATCGAAAAATTAATATCGAAAAATTGTTAACATTAACAGTTAACAGTTAACTTAAGACATGAACTGGTAAATTAATATTTGTCACATATAATTATTGGGCTCAAATTTTGACAGTAATCAACAATATCGTACTAACAAATTGTCTCTGCGAAAAGAAAGAAAAACCCTGCTGCACACTGACATGAAAATTCTGTGTTGTTATAAGGAAAAATATAAAATTTTCTAATAATATAATACAAAATAATTTGTGAATCAGTAACATTTCCAGAAATACTTTAGTTTTCATAATGCAAAATCAAAACAAGCCTGCAGTTGCGCAGAATATTTATTGACAATTCCTCACATAAATCCATTGCAGCGACAGGAGACAGTCTGAATCTATTTATGAATTTCCTCTCTGACATTTAAAAAAGGATTATGCCGATCTCTTTAACTTCAAAGAATTCGATCAGTATTTCGCCGTTGCCTCAAATGTCTTAGCAAAATCTCTTCAACCATCTTGTTGGAAGCCGCTGTTATTGGTTTGCGGAAGCTCAGGAGTTGTTGGCAAAATCTGTTATGATAATGGCTCATTTTCAAAAGGCGTGTATCCAAAGAGTTGTACTTGGATTCGAGTTTACAACGCATTGCAGATGGATTCGCGCCTGTAATGATGCCTGTAAATGTTTTATATAAATAATGTAAAAGAAAAGAAAATATGCAAAATCTGATTGTAACTGAAATCATTTTATTACATTGACATACCTTAACTAGCTTAAATCCGTTTAAAAACATAAAAATTCGCTTTACTTACGCCCCGGAAGTTAATATTATTATTATTATTTTTCCCATTAGTAACGGAAGATGCATTTAATTATATTTAAGACCTGGGTTGGCAGCAGCTGATAACGCGGGAAAAGTAACCTGACGTTCGTGAGTGAAAGTTTGCAAACTGTGATTACTGAACTTGACTTCATATACCGGTGTGTGTGTATACATATATTTTTGTATGCTTTTGTGTGCGCATTACTTTTGCTTATAATTGAAATTTGTTATCAAAATGAAATGCCAAATCCCACAAATATCCTGGCACAGTCGAGATCCAGTTTTAAGTGTAGATTTTCAGCCGACTCAAGGAGACTTTCATCGCTTAGCTAGTGGTGGAACAGATTCGCACGTTTTGATTTGGTATATTACATATCAAGAGAACAAATCAATTAAAATTGAGTGTGCATCAGACTTGTATCGTCATAATAAATCCGTAAATGTTGTGCGCTTTTCACCGAATGGTGAATTACTTGCATCTGGTGATGATGAAGGAGCCATGTTCGTATGGCAGCTGAAGGATCGCAGTCAAGAAGAAGCTCCCAAGGATGAAGAAGATATTAATAAAGAAGAATGGTATCCTGTAAAATTGCTTAGAGGTCATCTAGAAGATATTTATGATATTAGCTGGTCTGCAGATGGGCATTTTTTAGTGACTGCTTCAATGGATAATACAGCTATTATATGGGATATGCAGAAGTACCAAAAGTTACATATATTATCTGATAGTAAAGGTTATGTGCAAGGTGTTGCCTGGGATCCTCGTGATGTTTATATTGCTTCTCTGGGTTCTGATCGAGCGTTACGATTTCACAATATTAAAACCAAGAAAACTGTATATAAAGTCTTCAAGGCACCATGGAATATTGTTACTGAAAAAGGCACCACATTATCTAGATTGTTTTATGATGACACTCTTCAGTCGTATTGTAGACGATTATGTTTCACTCCAGATGGTGAATTAATTATTGTCCCATCTGGAATTGTAGAAAAGGGAGAAAATTTTCACAATACTACATATATTTTTTCAAGACATGCACCAAACAAACCAGTTATTCATTTGCCTACAGGCGATAAGTATACGATTGCAGTGCGTTGCAATCCCTTGTTGTATAAGTTGAACAGTGATAAGAAAGAAAATGAGACTGACGTAAACAGTAACAAAAAAACTGAGATTAATGAAACTCCAAAGCCGATGATAGATTTGCCATACAGGATGATATTTGCAGTTGCAGCTTCTGATTCCATATTGTTATATGATACAGAGCAGTTGTTTCCTTTTGCATACATTTCAAATATCCATTATACACATTTGTCAGATTTAACATGGTCTTCCGATGGGCGCATACTTGTTGTTTCATCAACAGATGGATATTGTTCATTCGTAATATTCAGTGAAGATGAGTTGGGGGAAGTATATGAACCTGAAACAGTTCAGATACCAGAAACTGTGAAAGTTGAAGAAACTCTGCCAGAGCCACTTACTCAGAGCAACAAAATGGACATTTGCAACTCACCAAAGATTGACAACATTCCAGTTAATCTGGAAAAGGAGAAGGAGGTTAGTAAAGTTATTCAAGCCTCTGAAGTAGACAAATTACCTGATAAAAGCAATAAAGCACAATCACCTTCATCAAATAAACGTCCTGTTGAGGATTCCAAGTCAAATAAAAAGCCGAAGAAAATATGCTCGATTAAAAATTATTTTATCTCACCTAAAGAAAAGCCAGAAAAAGCTTCATCACCAGTAGTTAAAATCAAAGAAAAAGAGTCTGATGAAATTATTGTGAGTAGCTCTTGTGATTTAAAATCATCTTCTGCAGAGAAGGAGTCTAGTTTTACTGCTGAAAAGCAAAGTAGAAAAGATAATTCATCTAGCAACTTGACTACTGGGAAAGCAGACTGCAAAGATGTTCCTGAAATATGTGCAAATTTATCTGAATTTACTCCAAAAAGAATGTTAACTGAACTCAATAAAGATGGTGATGCTTCAATTGAAATTGTATTTGATGCTAAAACTCAAGCGAAACACCGCTCTTCCAGTGCTAAACCAAAGTGTAAAGTGCAGCTTAATTTTGCAGATGCAAAAAATCCAGTAAAAAAAAATGTAGGAAATGTCGATCATGATATCACAGCTGATGCTGTACTTTCTTTCAATGATTGTAAAACTGATGAAACTATTTCAGAAGTTATTCCTGATAATGAACTCCCAAAAGATGTGGGTGACTGGAAATTAGAACTTTCACAAGATGATGAACCAATGGAGCAAACTGCAGCTGTTAGTACTTCTGAAGCTGATGAAAAAGTTAAGCGGAGAGTGCCCTTTATTACCTTATCCGATGATAAGGCTGCTGGAAATTCAAAATTGAAATCTTCGGACATTGTTAAAAAAGTACACAAAGTGCCTTCAGTTGCTATGCAGCTGACTGATCAACTTCCAGATAATGCGGTTAAAACTAGTGATACAAACGAACAAATCTTGCAGAAATCACCTTCAATATCAAATACTAAAGCAAAGCGTCGAATACCTTTTGTTACCATATCTCCTAAAACTTCTTTCAAACCTTTAAAAGACTAATGCTCATTTACCAGTAAGTAATATAATTTATATAATTATGCATAATATATAATAATTATAATCCTCTTTATATGCTAAGGAAGGTTATTTCCTTATCATATAAACAATGACTAAATTATCTGTTTAACATATAATAATAAGGAGTATAATTGTTATATATTAAGGATAATTATATATAAATTATAATTTTTACTGATATATAAGTTATACTGATGAGTATTATAATATTGCTCCTTATTATATAAATTCAGGTGCTACAAATAAGGTTTGATTAGTTGGTTGTTCAGGAGTAATCTTTGTGTTGTGGCCATATTGCTTTGCTTTTTGAAAAACTGGTTGAAAAAGCCGTTAATTTACCCCAAAGAAAATAACCCTCCCCATATTTAAGTGGTTAGAGTGTATTGTATCTATTCCCTGATCCTGAAGAGATTATGAATTTGTATATTGTTTTATTTTAAATTTCTTTTTTGGTTACTTGTTTCTTTATTTGTATTTAATTATCTGCATATTGTATTATTTTAGTATATTTTGATATTTTAAAAGATTCAAAGAAAATTATCTGAAATATAAATATGTAATTGTAAGATTGTGGCAGATTAAAAATAATTAAAAAAAAATCATAGTATTTAATTGCAATTTTTCTATTATGGAAATCATCTTTCTGATGAAGAATTAATAAAAAATTTATTAAATTTAAAATTTTTTTTCGTAATAGTTGAAAAAAATTTCGGTAAAATATTTTATTTTTGTATTAGAACTAAGAAATGCTAATTTTTGCTTTATATGGAAATTTTCATCCATTTGAAATATAGGGCTAAAGTGACAAAATACTGTATTTTATATTATGTTTTCACATAATTTTTTGGTCATTTTCTGATCAATATGTGTCTAATAAAATAATTTAATTATGGTATGGATACCTGCTAAGTAAATGAAGTAAAATTTTTCTAAGATGACAAGTCATCCAGAGTTAGTTTAGATAATTTTCTTTTTCTGTGGAAGTGGCTGTCTCAGTATCTTCTGATCTTGACACCTTATATAATATTTTACTTATAGAATAAATGATTATGTAAATTATTAAGTAAAGAAACAGTATTTAAAATATTACTTTTTAAAATATTTTTTAATGCTGTCATCAGCTGAGACATTTTAAAGAAAAGAAACCTTTCGGCTGTTGATATCTCTGATATGGATGAAACTTGAGAAAAATCACTAGTCAGGGTTAGCTGAATATTTGTTTTAGAGCAAAATGTTTGCACTTCAATATTTTAACATAGGATATTCTGATATTGAAAAATACCAACAATCCTATGACATGTTATAAAAATATATCTGTTTCACAAATATACAGTCAAAAGTCATTAATTCGGACGCCCATAATCCGAAATGATCTATAATCCGGACCTCAAAGCTAAAAAATTTCTGCGCATGCACCGCGTTGACACATGCGCATAGGCGTTTATGTGTGCGCATAAGACTTTTTACTACTGCGCATATGCATGTGCGCAGCGCAGAATACGTTTTCGCGTGCGCGTTTTATGTATAACAGATGGTGTGAGCTAAAATTATCTAATTATCTATTTCAGTTAATGTTGATGACTGCGTTGTTCCTTAATCTTCGAATTGGATCCAGCTTATTATTTTTTGCAGACTGTAAGAACAATTTTATAAAAGTAAACTTGAACTTTCGATTATGTCAAATAGAATTTCCTATTCTGGATCTCCCAAAGGATCGTACAAAACGAAAGTATGTTTCGATGTTCATCAAACAAAAAGTGGAATTGCTTCAAAAAATGGATAAAGACATGAAGAATGTGACAGGAGGTTAGTGAAAACGAAAAAATTTCGATTGACAAGTTAGTCGTTATTCTCGGCACAGCAATTAACGGGACTTGAACAGCGGAACTTTGTAAACTGAACAAGAAATGTCTGTTTATAGAATAGAATTAAAGAGAAAGTATTATCACATAAAACGAAGCAACTTAAACAACTTACATTGAAAGAAATGTTTAATAAAGTAAATAAATAAATATTAAGCTTTTTTTTTGTAAATTTTGATACCGTTTAGATCATAATTGTTCTTTATTTCATAAATTATTGTTTCATATTTTTAATTTTAGAATTTCTACATGCCATCTTACGAGATTTAAACTGATGATCTATAATCCGGAAAAATCGATAATCCGGAATCGCCGAAGTCCCGACGAGTCCGGATTAACGACTTTTGACTGTTTATGTATATGCAATGTTTTTACTCCCTTGGAAAATGACAGATTATTCTCCTCCCTCCACCCGGGGACTTGAGAAAATCACTGGTCAGGGTTAGTTGAATATTTATTTTGGAACAAAATGTTCACACTAAAATATTTTAGCATAGGATATTCTGATATTAAAAAATACAAACAATCCTATAGCATGTTGTAAAAATACATCTGTTTGACAAATATACACTCATTGCCATAAAAATTTGCGTACTCAAAACTAATTGTGGGATCGTAACGAAACTTGGCATGAAGGTACATGTCGGGTAGATATGCAAATGATTAGAAATGCAGTGTGATTGCGCATTGCATAATGCCAGTAGAGTGTGTTGAACTTTGGTCTTCTTGGAGTATAAAACAGGTAAGCAGAGCTTGTTTGAGTGTACTTAATGTTTTGCTAAGAAAAGGCTGGGGTAGACATGCTGTTACGCCGCCATCAAAGCCAATATCAGCAGTTGCCAGAGTTGGAGAGGAGAAGAATCATCGGGATGATGGAAGCTGGATGGTCAGCTTGGCGACTAGCTCGTCAGGTCGGCCGTTCTGATTTTACTGTGAGGAGGTGTTGGAATCAGAGGACAAAAGAGATGTTATTTACACAGCGACCAGGCTCCGAATGCCCTCGACAGACCAGTCGTCGAGAAGACTGTCACATCATACGACATGCATGCGTAAAGCCAACTGCCTCATTGGCCGCTATCAAACACAGGCAGCAGCTTCATTACAGGCCCCTGTGTCTTCCCTAGCCATCGCAAGGCACCTGGTTGAAAGACATCTGGTATCGCGGCACCCATTACATGTGCTGCCAATTACACCCACCAACGCTTCTGTTTCGAGTGGTGTCGCGCACAACAGGATTGGACTTTAACGGAATGGAACCAGGTCGTCTTCAGCAACGAATCTAGATTCCATTTGACCAGTGATGACAATCGTGTTCGTAGAGGCCCCGTGGTGAATGCCTCAATCTTGCCTTCACTATGCAGCGACACACCGTTCCCACAGTTGGTGTGATGGTATGGGGTGCCATTGCTTACGATACACGGTCACTCTTAATATTGATCCATGGCACGATGACAGGCCTGCGGTATGTCCATGACATTCTTCAGCCACATGTGTTGACACTTATGGCAGGGTTCCCAGGAGCCTGTTTTCAACAAGACAATGCTCGACCACACACAGCACAAATCTCACAAGACTGGCTCCACCACATTAACATCCTTACCTGGCCTGCTCGATCCACATATTTGTCACCAATCGAGCATATTTGGGACGGCAAGTTGAGCAGCCTACGAGATTGGTCAAACTAGAGGCGTGTTTACAGCAATCGTGGAACAAGATGTCTCAGGACACCATACGGAACTTGTATGCCTAAATGCCTGCTCTTATAGCATCGTGCATTTGAGCTAGAGGTGGTCCAACAGAGTACTAACACTTCCGTTCATGCGTACTTTTTTCTGCATTTCTTTGGTGCACAAATTTTTATGGCAATGAGTGTATATATGCAAAGTTTTTACTCCCTTGGGAAAATGACAGATATCCTCCTCCCTTCCCCGAAAAGTCAGGAAAACTGGGAATATTTCTCCAAAAAGTTATTTAAGTTAGGTAAAAACAAGATACAAAATCAATCCTGTTTTAGTAACTAATAAACAAAAAGTGCTTTTCTTAAAGAGAACAAATAAAAAAAAAATCTGAAAGTTTTCAGATTTTATATTACTCCCAAAGGAGCCTTTTTTTAATGTTTTGTGTGTTATCTTTATTTATTAAATATCAAGTTCTTTGCACTTAAACCATAAAATTCAATTCAACAGATCACAAAATAATTTAAAAAGAACATATCTAGAATTTCCAGTACACAGTCTGGCATGAAGATAAAAACATTTTTTTTTTGCCATTGCTCGCTTTGAAATCGTTGGGCTTTAATGTAGAATTGGGTGCCCCTTCGATTAGCGACAAATTTTTTTCAGTTTCAGTGATGAAACCCCATTTCCAGTTACCATGTATGTTTTAACTTTGTTTTAGCTTCCCCATTTTTTCCTTGAGAATAGATCAATGTGTATATGGACAAAGTTAAGGCAGTGCGCAATCCCTAGTTTGTGCAGTTCTCTAATTTTTTTTTTTTTTAAAGTGAAAATAGATCAATGTGTACATATGCACCGAGCTTGTGCAATTCTTTGATTTCTTATTTTGGTTTTGAGTAGTGGCCATCTTGAAATTGTGCCTTCTTGGCACCGATCTTGGCATAAAAAAGAATCGCCAAAAAACAAGGTGCATCCAATTGTAAACTTTTACCAATTGTTGAGTTTGTAAATAAAAAATTCATTAAAGTTTTACAAAATATGAAATAGATAATAAAACGAATTCCAAATTTAGGTTTCCAGATGCCCATATTCGGGTGGGGGATTTTTTTTTTTTTTTTTTTTTTTTTGTTTTTTTTTTTTTTTTTTTTTTTTTTTTTTTTTTTTTTTTTTCCAATGGCAGACTTCGAATAATTACAAATGTAACCTAGTCCATTAATTTGTACAAGGTAGGATGTGGTGGTCTTTTTAATATGGAGGCACGTAATAGGTGAGCCACCATCGTCTTTCCTACGAAGGGACGGACAGTTACAACCATGCCTTCTCCAGGATTCGAACCCAGGCCCTTCAGCATCGCAATCAGCTTCCCTGACCACTATACCGACTGGGCGGCTTCGGGTGGGGGATTATGTTATTCAAAATTTGATGGCTTTAGTTATTGTTGTTTTATTGCAATGTGAGAAACATACATACATTTATGCATAATTTTCATTATTTAATTTCTTTAAATATAACACAGGGCGATATTAGTTGGTGGCAACAATTTGAAAAGTAATTCAATGTATTTAAGTTTTCAATGCAAAATGCCAAAACAAAATTAATAGCTCTTATGGGCAAAATTGCCCCTTTGGGCTAAAAAAAATATTGTTATCTTCATTTTTTTCTTGTGCAAGGTCAACACTTTATCTTATGAAAACAAAGCATGAAATTTTTTTCTCAGATATTATTATTGCCTCACTGGAATGCCTGGTATTAAGATGTACTTCCATCAAGAAACTCAAGGGCAACATGAATAATTAGGGTTACACAGCAGTCTATAAAATATGGCATAAGAAAATGTACTATATGAGAAATGTTAACAAAACAAAATACACTAAAGTGTTTGAAAATGTATGTAAACAGGAACTTATGTGAAAAACATAATAATATGTTCTGCTAGAGGTACAAGCATTAAAGATACCTCCGAATATGTTGAATAATACAAATATTTGATATGTTGATCATGAGGAA